AAAAATAAATAAATAAATGTATAAAACATCCTCTGTTTTATTGTTTAACATTTGTTGAATTGCAGACCATTAGTGGATGCCTGCTGGCTCTCTGTTCAGATGGTAGTTGCTGTTACATGAAATCGTATCACTGGGTCAAGCACAGATTATCTGTGTTCCAGATGTTGAACATCTGTCATATTGTACATAAGCACATGGAGCATTACATGAACACCAAAAAAACACAGGCCCCCTGCTTTAATGCGGTCAATGAACGCTGCTTATAAAACAGCATCAATCTGTATTGCAGGTAATGTTAGGATCATTCCAACCATTGGTCTGGTTAGGTAGTTAGCTTGTTTGTATTGTAACATTACAAAGTATTTGTTGTCCCCTATGTCAGCTGTACACAATCAGAAACCCTCATACCCCCCCCCAGAGATCATCTGTCCTCTAAGACCCCTTTTATCAGAGAACTGAGACACAGCATTGTAGAGAGCACGTCATTAGCCACTGGCTCTTTGTAGTTTTCACTTCATTTCTGCTATTGTTGTCACTAAACGTGTCTGCCATGCATCATCCTCTAATAAACTTGAGACTGCATTGTGCCTCTTTAGTGAAAGCTCTCCACTTCCACTCCATCTCGATTCCATCACACATGGATGGAATCTAAATGTAGAGTACTTATATCAAAATTCAAGGAATGGTGTCAGACTAAGTGTGTGTGTGTGTCATCGTTGGCATGAAGAGCTCTGACATGTTGAATTACAGTAAAATTGGAATGTATTGCTGTGTAGAAACTGTGGGTGTTACGTAGGCTGTCTTGAGAAACTACTAGGCCTAGGCACAGGTGCTTATTTTCTTTGCAAGATCATTAAGCAACACATCCTTGTTGATTATGTTCTTATGATGTGGGCAAGGCTCATTTAGTGTCCGAAATGCTCAGTTACTTCATAAATACCCGAAAAAAATAAGAGAACTTCCAGTTGGCTGATTTAATGGCGAGCACAAATGCTGCAGGAAGCTAGCCTCTCCTGCACACTGTGCCGATCACATCTACATGGAAAAGGATATCTGAAGAGCACTTCACAAACAAAACATATACAAACTAGGAGACCTTTGTATGAAAAGGGAAACTCTGATTAGTTTACATTCAGATAAATAGCATACAATAGACCACAAATATATGCTAACGTATCATTGTGAGCTGCAGAGGAGTGGAATGAAACAACTTCAAGTGTGCATTTTACAAGCACCCTGTTTGACTTGATTCAACTGCAAATGAACAAATTTAAAAGCAAAACTAAAATGAGAACAGATCTTTGTCCCCAAAATAGTCTTGTGGATCAGAATGGCACGCATCATCAGTAAATGTGAAATGTTTTATGTACCTGAGAAAGGAGTCAGTTAAACCAAATAAAGATATGGACAAACACCATATTCATTGCAATTCAACACACCACAAGAACAGAAGAAATCTAAAAGACCAGTGTGCACTTTCTACAATAACGGATCCACTCCACGTTCATCCCAGTTAAGAGCCATGATCTAGATCTAATTAATGCTAAGAAGATACACACAAACCTTTCCTTAGAAGGTAATGTCAACTCACCCATCACCTCTTCATGCGTCACAGTCCTGTGACTGTACAATCCTTCAGCCTCGCCTCATCTTTCATCCACTGTTCCAACAGCAGGGGTTGTAACTTCTCCTTCGAGGTAGCATCTACACAACTGCTCTCTCGGTCTGACTTGGGATAAGGCTAATCAGGCCTGCACATCACCTAGCACCAAGAGGTAAAGCTCCCCACTGACAGTTATAGCTATAGGCCCCTTTTCTTTGAGAGTAAGGAGAGGGAAGAGGAAGCTTTAAAAAAAGCCACTCCCCAAATTCATCGTATACTTCCTTTCCTTGAATCCCGGTTAGCTGAGTTCAGGCACCACCTGTCTGTCTGTCTGTCTGTCTGTCTCTCTGTCTGTCTCTCTGTCTGTCTGTCTATATGGAGATGTGGGGGGAAATTCACGGTGAACTGGGTTGCCTGTCCCACATGAGCAAGCAGGCCTCAGAGCCAGCTGTCCCTCTCTGCAACACAGAGCAGCTCTAACAATGGCATTCCAGATCTGCTCACAGCTCACCACCCAACATCTCTTCCCCTCCCTTCATGTCTTTTCCTTCTTTCTATTGTCCTCCTTTTTTCTCTTCTCTCTCTCTCTCTCTCAAAACCACATGAATGCGCTCATAGCATCAGCAGGCCTGATCTCAGCCACAGACGTCTTGCAGATGGTGATTTTCTCAGGTAGGCAGGCCCCATTGTTGCTCCTTCCTACGTGACTACTGACTAAGGAGCTCCGCGAGCCCTTCCCCGACCCGTTCTGCCTCCCCCTCCTCTTGTCTCCCCTCAAAAGCCCTCCCCTTCCTGGACTGTCCTCCCTTCACAGGGACTCTGAATTGCAGCAGCTGAACGGTGACATCAGGAGGAAGCTTGAGAAGCCAAAGCCCTCAGGCTCCTCCCCTCTCGGCTGGCTAGCTGCTGCCTTTAGGGTTGCAACAACCTCCCCCCTCCTTCCCTTCCCTTCCCTTCCTGCCTGTCCATTCTCTCAGCAGCCCTTCTCGGCTCAGTTCCCCACCACTCGCCTCACCACAGAAAGAGGATCTTCAATTAAAAACAGTCGCTCCCCGACAGCAGCTTCGGGTAGCTGTGCATGTGCTTAGAGAAAAGCTGAATAATATCAATAAAATGCATTGAATTATAAACAAAAAAGACAAAAATAACACCAATTATATTATTGCGGATTGCAGATTTTTTTAAATACAGAATTCATCACAGCCTAAATATATGTATCAACACATTCTTACACTGGAGTGAGCATGGGTTGGTCATATATAATCGTTTTATAAAATAGTTTAGTAGAATATAGTGTATTAAAGGAAAATGTTCCTGTCGTTAATCAAAAACAAAACACAACTAATCCATCCGTTGAGAGATTAAAATAGCTCTGATAGATCTTTGAGACATGCAGTAATAGTGACAGTAGAGTGCAGACTGCAGACCTACATCTGCAGTACGCTGCATGTTTGAAGCAGCATGTGACTAGATCCTCCTCAAGGCTCTGTCACAGGAACTGCATGATCAGCACTTCATATAGATGAGGTCAGTTTTTAATGTTTCTCTGTCACACTGGCTCACATGACTCCTGCAGAAAACCCACCGACTGTGAATGTTGTTCGTAAATTAAGCTGTTTGAGTGCAAAGCATCTCCGGCCACTCTCACCTTGCATTACAGTTAAGTGGCTTAATGTCCTCAGGCAGGGCAAAGCCCCGTCTGCCACCTGGATTAGTGTCTCCCAGACACCCTCATGTCCAGTCAACTCAAATCCTAATCCGAAAAAGCAAACACCTCACGTAGATTCACATAAACCTGGCCTGATACATAACTCCTATGCTATTACCATCAGTAAAGCAGGGACAGTCATTGCTTGTCCATAGACCAGACTATAAGGAGGTATTTTTTACTTGAGGTGAGTTGTTTGTGTGCAAACACCTTTCTCCTGAAGACAGAGACTTCCAATATGAATGGTTTGATTAGATTTCAGCAACATGAGCTCACATTCAGATAAAAACATTGCTCTCAGCTTAACCAGCTCAGATTTCGGGCCTGATATTAGGGCTGGTTTCTGGTATCTCTACATGTCACGATACAGCAAACACATGCAACATCACAGATAAAATAATCAAAGAAAAGAACTGAGTTCTGTGTACTGTGTTACACATCTACTACAATCACATCGTTGTGACATGATTCCCTTTAAAGTTAATAAACGAAACTGTGACTACTCAGGATTCCAGGATGTTTGCACTTCAAGGGCCATAAAAAGTATTTCCCCTGCTTCCTCTTCCCCTGTTTGAGTATGAGGCGGCTACCTTTTCCTCAAACTGCATCCAGTATTGTCACTGCAATGTTTGTACCCATATTAGATCATATGCACCGTTGTTTGTTATCATTTCTCTGTAATTCTGTGATATCTGCTGTATGTGTCACAGCAGAGAGGACTTTAGACTAACAGACTTCAGACTACAGAGTTTTCCAACCGTTTAGTTTAGCAGTCAGCAGTCTGCTGGACCGGTAAACATGGGCGAAAGTCTCAGTGACCTGAAATAGGAAGTGTTGGCCCTCGATGATGTGCTGTCCAGATTGTGATTAAATATAGACTGTAGTTTATGTTTCCATCCACATCTGTTGTGTCCCTGTGCATGTGTCATCATGCAGTGATTGTTCTTGCCTACAGTCGGCCTGAGCAGAACTACAGATCTATAGATTTAATCTAATTTTGTTTTGATTAAGTTGCAAGGATGCATGTACAAGTAGATTGTAATAAAGAAGTACCTGTGTTTGACGGCAGAGTAAACATGAGTAAGTTATGTACCAGAGATTTTAAATCAGCAACAGCGATGCATTATTATCCATGAATTACATTTCCAAAAAGCATTGTGAATTTCCCATTGATAGTAAATCAAAAAACAAAAAGGGAAATGTGTGATCATTGTGCCAATTTGCAGCAATATCTGATGGAATCTAATTCAGACACAGGTGAAGCATGAGTGATTTCATTGTCCCGTTTGTACTAGCAGTAACAATCCAAAGTACCTTTGTACTGTTTAGAACAACACGGCTGATGCAAACCTGAGAACGAGAAATCCAGAGAATCGAATTTCTGAAAGCACATTTCTGTGTTTTGGAGAGCGTTGAGGGGCTGTTGTGGGGCCAGTGAGGGTGCCTGGCTCTATGATGACTCATCAATCATTATTCACACAACACACAGAAACCCCCTGCTCCTCAAACTAACAAGCTCCTCGTACACTTCACTGCATCAGGCGAAGGAATCTGTCTCAATGCATCAGTCTCTGTTAGACCAGTCATAGCAGCGGACGTTGGGTTTCACATAATCATAGAAAAGCTATGTCCGTGCACATAACATACAACAGACTCCGCATGGGACACAGCTATTAGAACCACTGCTGTATTAGTTATTTATATTATTTTTGTGGAGCTCATCTTATCCTCAGCTGGGCTCAGTGTTTGTAGTGTTGAATACATAACAAATGCCAAGCCAAAAGTTGCTAACTAAATCTGTACATAATAATAATAATAATAATAATAATAATAATAATAATAATAATGAAAAACTTACAGAACTTCAGAATTAAAATCGTCTTTCTTAGCCAAGTATGTGTGCACATACAATTATTCTCTCTCAATGTACTTCCACAAAAATAGAATTAAAAGGACAAAAAAAGCTAAAGAATAGACAGGACTGGTATGTACACAAGTGACAAAATAGGTGTAAATATTGTATAAACATATATAAAAAGCACCAATGTCAAACAATAAAATAAGAAATAAAACTGTACTTCATCAGACTAACATCGTAGCTGTTGTCATTCATATGCTTTTGATTGCAGACATTAGATTGATAAGATCTGACAACTACCGAGAGAAGACGACAGAATGTGGCCACATCATGTCAAGTACAGTAGTCAGCAGAGTTTTTAATCAACACTGACACAAAAAGGGAGTCAGGAGACGTTTGTGTCTCCCCCATTGAGCCCACTATCACACAGGCTGGCAGAAGACAATGCAGCATGCAGGCAGTGTGTCTGCAGGCACAACATGCACTGCAGATTTTTATAAAAGGCCGATCGGTGCTCCAGCCCGGGCCCCTGCCTGCGACCCTCATCCACCTGCAGTAAGGGCTACAGAGGGACCGTGGTGTCTCATACGGTGACTCACATCACATGATGTCTTGTACATGTTGTCCTGTGCAAACATTTGAATAACAGATTTGTGTTATTATGCACATTATATAATCTTGGATGTGACTACATGCTTCTTCATAAGCGTACGTTATTGTGTACTTGTGACGCATCATCTACAGAATCTAGGAGAAATACTCTGAACCAGGGAAAGTGCTGACTTTCATGAAAATGGCCAAACCTAAACAAGTGGTTCAGCAAAATCCATCTTAAAAGAAGGCACATTACATCGTCTAACGATTGGCTTTCATCAATCCTAAGTGTAGACCTACCATGCATACAGTATAGTGACCAGAATGCAATCAGTTGTAGTCAACATGCATATGCAGTTCCAAGTCTGAAAATGAGCCGTGAATATTTATTGGGGGAAGTGATTTAAAATTTAAGTAGTTATCAATTCAGCAAATTGACTATATGATGCTTTTATGGTATGCATACACAATATTTCTAACATTTTTCTGTACCTTGTCATACTCTTATAGGCCAATGCCAAAGTTATTGCACTGCAATACTGTTAATACCTACACTTCAGATCAGACTTCATTGTACTGCAAGACAAATGTGGTTTTCTACAGATCTTATGATGACAAGTAATAAAGGTTACACCTGTGTACCGTATTACATCAGTTTAATGAGACAGCAAATTAGAAATTCAATGGACAAGCCAAATAACTTATTTCAACTGATACTGAATTCAATCATTTTTGTTTTGTATCATTTGATTTCAGTGCTTGGGTTAAGAAAATAAAGCCTTTAAAAAGGTACTGCCACAGGCCTCATTTACATGAGCATAATGTAACCTGGAGATCAAGTTATTAAACCAATGACTGTGAATGATCAAATGATCCTGATCAATCAATCTATTCATCAATTTGTTTAAGTTCAAGTTTTCCCGGGTGCACAGATAAATGATTTCATTTTGACAACAATAGGGTGGAGCTACATCTTCATTACTGCAATATGTCTGCATTCAGAGTTTGTATCTAGTCAATTCACAGCTACAATTTGAACTCTGTTCCTGGCAGCCTACACTTGGTCAATATTTCAATATTACAAAGATGTATTGAAACAATTCACAGTGTACTGGTAGAGTCAACATAGCACCCTTGTTTGTAACACAGTTGTACAAACACTGCCAGCCCTGTCTACCTAAAAAAGAAAAAAACACTGGACATAATCTGAGACTCCAAGCCCATTTATACAAAGTGAAGGGAACCCTGAAGTCCCGAGACAGACATGTAACCCCTGCTAAGCATCTGCCCTAAGGCGCAGCATCCAGGGCCGTCTGCAAACTCCCTGTGACCCATGTGCAGACAGCCAACGGAGTCAAAGCAGCCAAACCAGCTGCACTCAACAAGCATGTGACATTTGAGATAGTTTCACACTAACAAATGAGCCATATTCCAGAACAAAAGACCAATCAAAAAAAGGGAACCACTGAACCCTATGCTCACAGTCTAGGACAGAGGTTTGAAAAAATGATGCATTGGCTGTTGCTGTTGCTGCAGCACAATGCAACACAAGGACTCACAGGATGACATAAGCAAACACGCTGATTCACATGTGGCTTCACATAGCTTCCCCCGGGCAATACACCCCATACATATTCAGATCAGAAAAGCAACGAACGATCGCTAATCCTCTGAACAAAAGAGCACGTATGCCTGATTACAGAGCCCCGGCCCTCAGACTGCAGCAAGAGATGCCCACCTGCTACAGA